GTATAATTTGCTCAAGGCTTGCTCAGGGCCTTGAATATTCTGGCCACATACTGTCATGACTTTGCATCTATTACTTAGATATGTGGAGTCAGCTGACGAGTGGCCTATCCCAGGGACTGTGTCTGAAAGTGACACACATTTGCATCTTATCATTGTTTGCTACTGATTCTTAAATACATTTATGAAAGTTGGGTTGGGGAAATTCTTGCAGTACATAACAAAACATGCATTATGATGCCGTAATACAAGCTCTACCCCTTATATACTTGTATGTAATTTATGATGCAAGTACAAAAAGGGTGGCGTTTGTGTTGTTTGTCCTGCTTGCCACCCCCACCCCCACACCAACCTACACATGCAAATATCCGTGGCAAGTAGGAAATATATTTTTCAACTTCTGGGATTTAAAAAAAAAAAATCCTTGATGCTTACCCCTTAGATAGAAGCAGTAGAATGGTTGGACTGAGACTAGGCAAAACTGCTTTGAAAGATAGCTTTGGGAGACAGAGTAAAAAGTTTGGAGAAATGAGACAAATGGGCAAAGAAATATAATGTTGAACTACTACTTTAAGAATCCCTCACTCTTAACCAGGGTTAGTTGTAATTTAGTAACACTTGGAGGCCACAGGTTCTGCAGTCACAATCTAGAGTTCCTATGAGGACAACTCAACAAGAAGCAGAACTAAGTTCCTAAAGACAATAAAAAAGGAGGCAGTATTCAACTGGTCTATTCAGATAAGAATTCTTAGTTGGGTTACTCAAGTAAGGATGGTAAGTTATGGGTTGAAATGTTGCTGATGTGACCCAAAAGGAAATCACATCTTGGAAAGAGAAAGATTTCTTCATCCCAAAGCATCACACTGCAGCTGAGAGCTGGATGAGGGATCCCCTTTCTAGTAGGGGGATTCAGTAATAGTAGTGAGTAACTTCACTAGCAAGACAACAGACTCAAAGACTAAAAATCTATCTTCAGAGAAGAGATTCTGCATATCTTCCTAGACCACATGATAAGTGCCCTCAGGAAAATATTAAGGTGGAATGGGAAATGTCTTAAATTTCAGCTTCTGTACCAGATCTTCACCTAACAAAAGCAGGTGACACAGTCCACCATATTAGCCATGATTTCTCTACCCCTTGATTCATGATGTACCCCATTTGCAACTGAATGAAATACAGTTGTCTCTCCCTACCCTGAGCTAAGGTCACTTAACACTGGGAGGTAGCTGAAGGCACTGTTTTCCTTTCATTTTCCCTTCTATCACACATTGTCCCATTGCTCTGCAGCCTGTTTGGCTGCTTGCATTTCCTAACTTCAGGGGGCCCAATGGAAGAATCACCTAATGGAACTCAGTGAAGTTGGAAATCAGGAATAATTACAGAGTGTAATGACTGTGTAAAGAAAACTGACACAAAAACAGATGCCATTGCTAAAGTAAAACAAATAAAGTAAAATAAAAGCAAGAATAAAAGCAGGAGAATTTCATAGAGGCCTGAAATTATTTTTTCCTTGTGGGGAGGGATGGAGGGAGATACCTTTTCTCTAAAAGTGAATGAGAATGGCCGAAGAAACACATATGACATTTTTGTTATTTTCATCATTACAGCCCATTACATTTCAAAATTTCTGAGGTTGCAGGGGGAACATTCTTACAAGGTTGACCTGAAAGTCTAGTTTCTGCTTCATATCCTGTCTTGGGTAGGGGTGGGGGTGGGAAGCAAGCAAGCAACCAAAGAAAAGCAAGAAGAAGAAGAAGAAGAAGAAGAAGAAGAAGAAGAAGAAGAGGAGGAAGAGGAAGAGGAAGAGGAAGAAGA